TTCAGCAGGTAAGAAATTTTGGGTCTACTAGTCCTGCTCCTGGTGAACTAAAAGAAACACTCCTTGCAACAAAGCTACAACGATGCACTACTGTTGGGAAGAAACCCAGATTTTCTAGGACAATGCCTAGTAAGAAAGATGAAGAGATTTCAATCGACAATCTGCAAAATCTAAATCAGAAGAATTTATCAGCTTGGAATACGAGGAGGATGGTTAACATTGCCCGCCATGGTGCATTGTCTATTTAGATTAGTATATACTTGATTCAGACATCAGATATGACTCTTTCCTGTATATCAAAAGTGAGTTGCAGGAAAAAGAGACAGCCAATAAAATATTTGAGATGTTGTTGAAAATTAAATTTGAATTCTGATTTTTCTAAAAAAATAGAGAAGATGATATATCAGTTAGAAACCGATCGATCAATAAAATTAAATAAATTAGTTGATTAATTAAGAAACTGTTAATTGATTTAGTTAATAAAATAAAATTTTTATTCATACTAGAATTTTCTTATATTAGTTTAGTTTCTTGATTATTTAGAATTTTATGTTTATAAAAAAACGAGTAAAGAGAATCACTCAATAAAAATATACATTCTTTTCAATCTTCTTCTTATTTTTAAGGGTTTTTACTTTGCATTATTGTTTTTAATATTCTACCACACTTATTCTCTTTCTAACAAGTGTTGTCATAGCTTAGGTTTGATTAGTTAACATAATTAATTCAAACTCCTCACTTCAATGTCATAAGCAAGCTAACAAATAACAACTATAAAACTTGATGTATTCAAGTAAAAGCTTGATTAGATTTTCAAGATGTACGAGAAATTGTTGAAAAAGGCTATGAGGAACTTGTAGATGAAGCAGCATTGACTTTAGTCCAAATAGAGATAATACAAAAGACACGAAGAAAGGATCAGCAAACACTAATAATCATCTGTCAATATCTAGATGATGCTATTTTTGAGATAGTAACCAATATAACCACTACTAAGTAAGTATGAAAAGTTTTAAAAGAATCAAACCAAATAGCTAAAAATGTGAGAAAAGTACATTTATAGAAGTTATATGGTGACTTTGAAAAGTTATACATACTTAAATGGAAGAATATTTCAGAATTAAGAAGCATTAAGAACAATGTACGTCATGTGAATAATATGCAAGAACAATGGAATAAACAATTGGTTATTAACAACTAGCTAGTAGTTAATCTTTAAATTTATTCATTTTCCTAGCAAATTTCTAATTTAGAACTTCTTTGTATCTTTATTTGTCGTTTTAAGTTAGCATATACCAAAAACAAAAGGCATTGACATTATCTCTTAATGACACAAAAATTATCGTCAATGAGCTTCACATTATGTTAAACATCCTCGTTAGCATCATCACTATGATAATCTAGCTCATCATACTTGGATTTATCTTTAGAAATACCTATAAGACTGTATTTTAAGCAATTATATTTTTATTTTTCATGCTTATATTTGACATTGATGATCAATGAGACGTTAATGGAATTTAGGTATATGTAGAAATTATATTGCAACATCGCTTTTTATATAGAAATGTTAAAGTAGATTTAACTTATGTTTATTTGAGCTTTAGTTAAAAGATGATGATATTAGTATATTAACAATAACGTATTTTAGGAGTGATAACCAGGAAATTAAGTACCCTGATATTGTTCTAATAAACAAACCTATTACTCACTTTAATTGTAGTCCAAATATGATATATGCAATTGATTTGTGTCTAAATCTCCAGCCTAATAGAGAAAATTGTCAACATGAAAGACAAATTAAAAAGGTATGTAAATATGTATGAATTTGCACCTAACATTTTCCATTTCTTAGTTAGATCCTAGTTCAAGTAAATCATTGTTGTAATTAATGTAAATATGTTGAAGGAAATAGTAACCACTAGCATCCAAAATCAATGGTGGTTGTAACAGTTGTAAAGGACATAAATAAAATGAAGATTTTATTTTTAGTTATGCACGGGACTAACCATTAGGAAATGGAGGTGAGATGGGCTAAGAGACCTTTTCTTCTAGAATTAAATGATCAAAGTGTTCATAAAGCTTGATATTAAATATCATGAGTTGCTTTTAGATGTTAAAATTAAAAATATATCATCTTTGGTCTCAATTAGGTTTCCCTTCAATTGGACCACCTGTGCTAACTAATTATTCATTTTATAACACAAGTAAGAGTTATGATATATATTTAATATTTGGAAGACAACTCTAGATTCCTATGAGCTCCCCTACATAAATAGTATGGGATTCAATAAAGATTACTCGTAAGTCCAAACATGAGAATAACATATATAGCTTGCCTCCTTATAAAATATAAACTGAGAATGTAATAAATGTAGTTTGTGAGTCATTTTATATTATGATTAGACTAAATAAGAGCATTTTAATGGAGGAATATTTGATTTGAATTATGAGAATAAATATTTCTTACCTCGTCTTGTGTAAAAGATCTAATAGTTCAGTGTGTAAACTAGTAAGATTCCACATTCAATAAAAAAAAAACAAATAGATTGTTGACATGTGTTATATTGCACATCATATCAATTTTTTTAATGTAAAATAAATATCTTGCTAATGTTTTTTAAGGAAAAAAACTTAAATCATGCGAGAGTTGACACAATGTAACTCGATCAACTTGGCGAATTCAAAAGCAACTCAGATTATCGGTAAAAATATTATTTGACTAAAAATATCCAAGACAATATTTAAAAAAAAAATATTGAGATGATAATATATTAGATAAACTTAGATCAATACGGGTTAACCTGTTAAATTCGCAACTCGAGTCATATGACCATAATGACTTATATAAAATAATTTAAAATAAATTATAAAACTCAAATATAAATCAATCAAATATTGATTGATAAAATAAAAAAATATTCAATTAAAAAAACTAAAAATAAATTAACTAATAAAACCCACAACCGAAGTCATGAGATAAAAATAACCTTATAAAAAGTAAACCAAAACAAACTATAAAGTCTACTTCATAATTAATCCAATATTGATGGATGAAGTTTAGAAAACAATTAATTAAATTAAAAATACAAAAAACAACCTTAATTTGGTTAATTGACAAACTCATAAGTTAGATCTTACGATGACCTCATAAAAAGTAATTTTAATTAATTAATAACAATAATTTTTAATAATGACAGGCCTCTAGCAAAGATGGATCAAAGAGCTTGTGACAGCCATAATCTGGGTTTTCAAGCCCATTTTCACTGCTCTTCCGGGTCTTGATCGGTGGACCCTTGTGACCAACCATCTAGCAAAGGATAAAGTGGCAGACTTCCTTTTTGTGCGGTCATAAGACACAAAACTGAAAGAAAAAGCAGCAAGAACCAATCTTCAGTCAGCTACCAAATCAGATGGCAACTCCAGTGAAGGTGTACGGACCACCATTATCCACAGCAGTGTCTAGAGTCTTAGTTACTCTTCTTGAGAAAGATGTGCCTTTTCAGATCATTCCTGTTGACATGTCCAAAGGTGAACACAAGAAGCCTGATTACCTCAAGATTCAGGTACTCTTGCCTTGAAATACAAGTATTACTTCTATTTTGGTTACTCTTAATCTTGTTCTCCATCATACACTAATCAATTGCGTAATTTTGACCATATCTTTCAGCCCTTTGGCCAAGTACCGGCTTTTCAAGATGAAAGCATTTCCCTCTTCGGTAAAGATACTGACATTATCAATTTCAAACTAAAATTATACTGATTTATTTTAGTAATCCCTCTATATTAATGCTTTTTGGGTTTTTTCCTTTCTGGGTCCTAGAATCAAGATCCATATGCAGGTATGTGTGTGAGAAATATGCAGATAGAGGATACAAGGGGTTATACGGTACAAACCCATTAGAAAAGGCATCAATAGATCAATGGGTAGAAGCTGAGGGGCAGAGTTTTGGGCCATCAAGTGGGGCTCTGGTGTTTCAGCTTGCATTCGCACCAAGAATGAATATCCCACAAGACCAGGGTGTGATAAAGCAGAACGAGGAGAAGCTGGGGAAAGTGCTTGATATTTATGAGCAGAGGCTTGGAGAGAGTCGGTTCTTGGCTGGAGATGAGCTTACTTTTGCTGATCTTTCACACTTGCCTAATGGAGATTACTTGGTGAATGCTACGGACAAGGGACATCTTTTTACTTCCAGGGAAAATGTGGGGAGGTGGTGGAATGAGATTTCTGACAGGGAATCTTGGAAGAAGGTTATTGAGATGAGGAAAAGTGGTTGAAATTGGTGATATTTTCTCGGTTTCAGGTTACATCGGAAGCGGCGGTGAGGGTTTAAGGGCTTTGTAACCTGTGATTACGAGTTGCTATGTTTTGTGTATCTTTCGTTGTATTGTCATTTCCCATGTGTCGTCTAATTTCATGGGGGCTGCCTGTCTTGGACGGGGAAAATAGGAGTTGCCATGCCTAGTGCTCGTTGATTCAATAATCTTATTCCATGTGTTTGGACTCAGTGGCTTCTTGTTCTTCATTTTTTGTTTCATGTTCACAACTTTCCTTGTGTGATACACGTTCATTTTGGTGTTTTGGATTCAATAATCTTCAAAATAAAGTAATTCAAATTCGCAATAAAACATGTTGGTTTTTGGTAAATTTTATTTCTAGGAAGTTTGGGGTCAAACTTGCACCGTTTTAATAGGAATAATAAGACTAAACTTCTAGATAGTTATATGGTAATTTTCTCTTTAAAAGGACATTTATTTTTTTTATTTTTTTTATACTATGGGAAAAAGTTCAATAAGAAAAAAAAGGATGAAAAATAAAATTAAAAACATTTAAAAAAAATTAAAAAGAAAAAAATTAGATTTCGGTGGATTGGGCACTATTTTGTTTGTATTATTTATGATGTTATTATAAAAAATATTTTATTTGAAGATGATAATGTAAATATATTTTATATTTTTAACTCGATTTAAGTATTTTTACATTTGAAAAAATAATTATTATTGGCCTACTATTGAGCGCAAGCTAATATTCTAATTATTATATTATTATATAATGGTTATTTAAAAAAAATATTGAGATAATATTTATTTATTTTAAAAAAATTATATTATCAAGTCAAAATAATATAAAAATATTTAAAAAATATTAATTTGAATTAAATAAAAAATAAAAATAAAGTTTTTGAAGTATTTTTTAAATGCAAAAGCAAACATATTTTAATAAGAATAATTCAACTTACTCTCAAATAAAAAAAATTATCATTACTTAACTTTTATACAATATAAAAAAAAAATTCACCAATTTATTTATGAAAAAAATAGATAAAAGAAAAGATAAAAAACTACTAAGATAAAAAAAATTAAAAATATTTAGCGGCTCAATCAAACCTAATAATATTGAGTTCGGCTATCCAGCTAAACCCAGGATTGGTAAATCTGGTTGAAAGCCGGACCCAAAAACCTTGAGTCTGACTCAAGTTTGATCCAATAGTGTTGGGTTTGACAACTCAACCCGTTCTAATTATATTTTTTTTACTGGTAAATAGAAAAGACAATGCTTTTTCAAGTTCAACATTGTTGTATACAATGTAATGAGTTTGTGTTTATAATACTGTTTTTTAAAATATATTTTTTAAAAATATACTGAGATAATATTTTTATTTTTTAAAAAATTATTTTTTATATCATCACATCAAAATAATATAAAAATATCAAAAATATTAATTTTAAATAAAGAAAAAAAATTAAATTTTTTAAATTTTATTTTGAAAACACAAAAATAAACATGATTCAATAAAAAAAAAATCAACCTAACCTGAAATTAAAAAACACTTGTTATCACCCTATTTTCTTACAATATAAAAAGAAGTCATGTTAATTTATTCCCTCTTTATAATATAAAAAAAATAAGAGGAAAAAAAAATAAAATTTAAAATAATTAAAAAAATCAAAGGAAAAAAAATTTGTTAATATATTAGACAATACTTTACCATGCTTTATTCATGATACTATTATAGAAATTTTTTTATTTGAAGATGATAATGTTGTAAATATATTATGTGTTTTAATCCGATTTAAATATTTTTATACTTAAAAAAAATATTATTGATCGGTTGCAAAGTGGGAGTCAATATGCTAGCTCTTATATTATTATGTAATGATTATTTAAAAAAAATATAATGAGATAATTTTTTTATTTTTTAAAATTAATTTTTATATTATCACATCAAAATAAATAAAAATAAATAAATTTAACCTAAAATGAAATTTTTTTATCATAATTAAACTTTTATACAAGAAAAAAATCTAAAAAACCAAAAATTTAAAAATAAAATTATATGACAGTTCAGCCAAGTCCAATAATATTGTATCCTACTATAAAGTGAGACCTTATAACATAAATTCTAGTTAAGTAATCAGACTTAATCATACTTTTTGAATAATAAATAAAAAAATTATGTTCCCTGGATGCTACATTGTCATCGACGTTACAAACACTTTATATCTACTACTATTATAGTATAATGTATCTAGTTAGTTACACATTACAGGGACAATATTTTTCCACGTTTTTTATAGGATAATATAATTTGTTTTTTTTTTTTAAAAAAAAAAAATCTAAGCTGATAGAAGATCGACCACATCTATTTCCACGGTCCATATGCATTCCCATTTTTCACATGGCGTTCTTTTGGCTCTGGACTCTTCGTGTGGTGGACCCTAATAAACCGACATTTCTTCTGGATTTTTTTTAAAGATTAATGGTGAATTTGGTCCTTCTACTATCAATATTATCTTATTTTGATCACCTTTACTCTCATTAATCCCAATTTCATCCTCTTATTCTCTTTTTTGAGCTATTACATCACTCCATCAGTGACATATAAATATTTAAAAAATATTACATCAATGTTATTGGAAAATAAGCTTTTTGTTTGGGAAGTATAAATATTTTCTATGAAATTATTTTTAAAAAAAATTATTTTATATTTTTATCATTATCTTTTCAACCAAATTTATATATATATATTTTTTATATATATCGTTTAGGTTCTAAATTGATGCCACATGGAATTAATTTTTAAAGGATCTATTATTGATGGAAGCACGAGGCCATTAAATGATTACAAAATATAATAAGAGGATGGAATCAGGAAAAGCAAGAGCCAGGGGGACTCGACTAAGATTAAATTGATAAAAGGACTAAAGGCACCATAAATTGATTCTTAATTACTGGGCTCACCAACCAGTCTTATCTACTGCTGCCTAAAGTTTCAGAGGCTCTTCCTGCTGTGTGCCTTTTAAGTGAAGTGAACAGAGCACACTAAATTCCACTCCAGCAGCAAGACGTGTAATCTTTCCTGTAACTAGCAAATCTAATGGCAACTCCGGTGACTATTTACGGACCACCATTGTCCACTGCAGTGTCTAGAGTACTCGCTACTCTTATCGAGAAAGACGTGCCCTTTCACCTCATTCCCATTGACCTCTCCAAAGGTGAACAGAAGAAGCCTGAGTACCTCAAGATCCAGGTACTAATCAGTATCTCTATCTTGGTTATTGCCATTTTCTTTCCTCCATCCACATACTTACCACCTCCTTTGACTCTTAACAGCCCTTTGGCCAAGTACCAGCTTTTAGAGACGAGAGCATCACCCTCTTTGGTAAACGACACCAAACTCTAAATTCTGATCATCATTCACCATTAACTTAATCCTCTTCATATTCCCTTGTTAATTGTTCTTTTTACATGTGGTTTTTGATTGTTTGTTGCAGAGTCAAGAGCAATATGCAGGTACATATGTGACAAATATGCTGACAAGGGAAACAGGAGCTTATATGGCACAGACATCTTATCAAAAGCAAATATAGATCAATGGGTAGAAACTGATGGGCAGACTTTCGGTCCACCAAGCGGGGACTTGGTGCATGACCTTCTATTCAGTAGTGTCCCAGTAGACGAAGCCTTGATAAAGAAGAACGTAGATAAGTTGGCGAAAGTGCTTGACATTTATGAGCAGAAGCTTGGACAGACTCGGTTTTTGGCTGGAGATGAGTTTTCTTTTGCTGATCTTTCACACCTGCCTAATGGGGACTACTTGGTGAATTCAACTGACAAGGGATACCTGTTTACTTCCAGGAAGAATGTAAACAGGTGGTGGACTGAGATTTCTAACAGGGAATCCTGGAAGAAGGTTCTTGAGATGAGGAAAAATGCTTGAAATTGGTGGTCACTGTTTGCTCGGTCCGCCAGCAGTCTGCACTCCGCAGTCTCAAGTGAGGGTTTTAAATAAGTTGGCGGTCTCTAACTTTCTCGGTGTGATTTGTAATTTTGGAATGCAATTATCTATGTTTCCAACCTTATCCATGTGTTTCAGCTGATGTTGTCTGTAGCATGTTGTGCTTTAGACATCGAGACGATAGGTTGCCTGTTTCTTGTTGATCCAATAAAAACTACCATGTCTTGGGCTTGATGACCATTCTTCCTTCTGGATTCTTTACTCTTCAAGATTTGGCTAACGATGCTTCCGATGCGATCCATGATTTTAGTCGGAAATAGAAACGGAATTTTTTTTTTATTAACATAAGTGTTTAAGCCAATTTGTAATTTGTATGCACCAGGACTAATCACGACTACTCTAGGACTAATCATGATTATTCCTATGAATCCTAAAGTTAACTATTTCTATGAATTTTAAAGTTAACAATTACTAAAATTGACTATTCCTATAAATTTTAAAGTTAACAATATAAATTTTAAAGTTAACAATTATGTAAGCTTGAAACAACCAAATACTCGAACTTTTAATTTCAAATCTTTACGCTACCACCTAATTCTTGCTTGGTGAGCTCGGAGATAAGTGCTTCCAATTCGCTGACAATTGAACAAATAATTCAGATTTTGAAGAATGTACGGTGCTAGTCTTGCTAGTGATAGGCTCATTTAAAGCTTTCGATGGAGGGTCGTTTAGAGCGTGTTGTGTTTTTTTTAAAATATTATTATTTATTTTTAAATTATTTATTTTGTGTTTTTAATATTTTAATATAAAAAATAAATTTTAAAAAATAAAAAATATTAATTTATTATATTTTTAAATAAAAAATATTTTAAAAATCACCTATGATGTGATGTCTGGATAAGAGTTCGCTTTCTTAACCAATTCAATTTATGGGACGTTTGTTCTACGATATAGAATATTTACTGTGGAAATGGCAATCTAGAAATTATGTTGGTGGTTTTGGCCAAAAGTTTTACTGTAGAAATGGTGATTTGGAAACTTATGGCAGTTCGGAAATTATGTGGGTGTTTCTGGCTAGATTGTTTACCATAGAAATGGTGGTTGGGGGGCTTTCGGCTCGAACGAAATGGTCTTTCTTTAACTTTTTTGCAAATAATTTTTTTGTTTTACACGTGGCTTATTTGCCACCACATCTTTCTTCGAGCTTATCTGAAAAAAAAGACTAGAAATTTCTTATTAATTATCTTCTTTTTTTTTGTACTGCCACATGTCATTACTCTGTCTCTCCATTCCTTTCTTTCTCAAAAAAACCAGAGGGAGAAGCTCCGTCTACCTTGATTGGGTTTTCAGAGGTTGATTATCTGCTCATTGCCGAACTAAATGATGCTCGTTTTCTGTTCTCTCTGGAGGAGATCAAAGGATGACTTGGAAGAGAGAGAGAGCGTGAGTTAAACGGTGGGGAACATGGTAGGTGGGAAAGTATAAATGGGAAGGTCTGCAGAAGAAAAAGGAAAGAGATAATGCTTGATTAAAAATATTAAGTTTGAATCGACAACAACCCACATCTTGTCTTATTGTTGGTGCTGTGATTATAAAATAATATAAATTATATTTTAAGATTTTATATAATAATTTATAAATTTAAATTTACATGATTATAAATTTTTAATTATTAAATAATTATAATTTTTTATTATTTATTTATTTAATAAAAAATAAATATAAAATAATATAAGGTGATGAAAGTTTTAAATTTAGAATGTGTTGTTTTTAAAATGATTTTTATAGTTATGATTTTAAAAATGTGTATTTAATTGGATTTAAATATGTATTTGGTAAAAATCATTATTAAAGTTTATATGTAATAAAATGTATAAAATATTTGATAATTTTATTTGAAAGTGTGATTGAAGTTGCTTTTCAAAGTATTTTTTATATGGAAATATATTAAAATAATATTTTTTAAAAAATTATTTTTGATATTAGAACATTAAAATGATTTGAAACCATAAAAAAAATTAATTTGAAATAAAAATAAAATAAAAATAAAATTAATTTTTTAAAAAAATATTTTTAAAATAGAAAAATAAACAAGATTTTACAAAACTCAATCAAAAAAATATATAAAAACTATAAAATGCCTGTTGATTTGTTACTAAATACTTTGTTATGTTTATTTCACCATAAACATAAAAGCCAGCCAAAATTAAGCACAACATTAATTAGATTTCACTTAAAAATATATACGTAACATGTTAAACTTTCAAGAAAGAGAATTCTTTGATATCCACCAGGTAACTGCATAAATTATCCCTTATAGCTGTTGAAAGTGGCATTCTAGCTTATATTCTTTCTTCCCCTTTTCTTTTCTAGCTACAATCAAGTTTCAGTTGTTATTCTCCCGATAATTTAAGAATAGAATGCTCTACCTTGAAAAGCTTCTTCATACTGTTAGCCTTTCTTTTAATTTGGTGTTGACCTTTTCCTTCTATTTTCATAACAAATTAAAAGAAATCTGACATGTGCATTCCTATCTTTCTATGCTGTGTTAGTGGGTCTATCCATGGGTTTTATTGCTTTAGGAGACGGTAGAGCCAACTACAGAATTTGATGAATTCTTATGGCGCAGGATGAAGAGATAGGAATCGCGATCGAGTTTGGGTAGGGAAACATAAAAAAAAAAAAATACGAGTTTTGGTGTTGAATCCTGTAAAAACACTTGCAGGAGCAGACACATGAAGGCAACATAAAGAAGATGACTTGTAGCCAAAGGTTACCAAAATAACCTCCGACTTTTGAAACCTAGGAAGTAAATACCGGGTTAAAATGAGGGATAGTGTTTTTAAAATCATCCAAAGAGAAAAATTTGAAGGATATTTGAGAGGTAGTTTTTTAAAGTTTTTTTTTTTTGTTTAAAAATATGTTAAAATAATTTTTTATTTTAAAAAATTGTTTTTAACATCAACACATTAAAATAATTTTAAAATATAAAAAAAATTAAATTGCAAAGGAACCATATTTAAAATTGAAATGTTAAAGGTGTGAAAAATATTAAGTGGTGAAGTATTAAAGATGTTTGATAATAGTTAAGAAAAAATAAAGTACAAAAGTTTAAATTAATATAAATCAAATCAATTTTTAATAAAAAAATTTATAAAAAATTCAAATAATACGGTTCAAAATGATAACTGTAAAAGAAAAATGAGTAAATTAATATTAGATTTAAAAAATGGAAAGAAAGCACTTTCCCTTCAAAATTCCTTTACTCCTTCCCTATTTAAAGATTTCCCCTCCGTTACGATTTTACCTTCCTCCACCCCAACGCCAAACATATCCTTAGCCCTTTTGTTTTTTTTTTTTCCAACTAAATCAAGAGAACAAAGCCCATTCTAGTAATGGACCGAACAACGTAGAAAGCCCACTTTAGACGTTTGCAGTCGATTCTCAGGTTCTGTCCGGCACCACATAATCCCGAACCCAAAACAAAAACAGTAACTGCGAAACGCAAGCCGAAGCCGCCACTTTCGTCCACCCTGCTTAAGCATCCAATCTGCGACACAGAGACGGTCATGGAATCGAGTTCCAAGGGAGAAGACGAAGTCGGAGGATACAACAGCAGCAACGTTAAAAAAGCCAAGCTGCAGTCAACTCTCGCTGCTCTCCTCGACGACCCTATACTTTCTGATGTCCCCAAGAAACCCACTTTATCTGATGTTGACACCCTCATCAGCCTTGAAATGGGTAGTGCCATGCGCATATCGGTTCAAAAGCTTGACGGAACCTCCTTTGGTATTCAAAGCTAAAACCGTCTTCTTTTTGGCATTTTAACAAACACTTAACAGGCGGCATGTGGAACTAAATTTTCTTTTGATTTGGTTTTGGTGAAGATGTGGCATTGATGAATTCGGCCACGGTGAAGGATTTGAAGCTTGCAATTAAGAAGAAACTGATCGAGATAGAGCAATCCAAGATGGGTCATCGTCATATTTCATGGTAAGCTATTGTTCTCCAAGAATTTTGTCAAGCTTATCATTACCATAGCCTGCAATTTTGCTGGTAATCGACCACTTTTGGTTCATTTAAAAGTAACAGTGCTTTTTGAATCATCAAGTTGCATGATGTATTGATTTCATTACGTTTGCAGGAAGAAAGTGTGGGCTAATTTTGCTCTCTCGTTTAATAATCAAAAGCTCCTCGATGACAACTCTGCACTTCAGGATTCTGGCATACGAAATAATTCTCAGGTTTCAGTTCTATTCTTGTAACTATTGAGTATGATCTTTCTTATCTGTTGATTTAGCTGTGGAATCTCGATGATGTTCAATCTCCAAAGTTATGCACTTGATCATCCCCTGCATATTTTTGTTTAATTATTGACTTTTGTTTCCCTGTTATGGCTTCCATTGCCTTTGGCTTAGAGGTGTGTTGTGCCTGTGCAGGTGCATTTTGTGTCCTATGTCATGTCAAAGGATTCTCAAAGGCATTCTAAGCGAAGAAAGCACCGATTCTTTCATGGCCTTAACAAGCGTGCTTAAGCACTCCTTTGTATTGCTTGATCTCATGATTCTGTACAGCTCCTAAGTAAACCTTCTTTATAGATATTTTTACAGAATTTATAGAAAAATTCTTCTCTTTTGAATGCTACATTCAGATTAGTTCTAGACTTCTCAATTGGCTGCAGCAGCAGGCTTAAAGTTTGGGGGGAATTTGCAAGATTCTTTAGCTCAGAGTGGGTAATAACATGGGTGTATTTTTCAAAATTTTCCACAGATTATATTCAATGCAATGGTTCGGTGTCAATTCTAAGATGGAATCTACAGATAATTGGATTTCGAACCCTAGAATTAATCAAGTCTTCAATACAAAACCTCATGTCAAATGAAGTTGATTAGCATGCATCCACAAGGAGCAAATAATTCAAGAAAATACCATGAAGGGAAAGTATGGCCAATTAAAGATTTAACTCTTGTTTTTTTTCTGTAATAGAGCATCCGCCTTATTGTGACTGCCAAATATTGTTCCAGCTGGAAACAATTGTCTTATCTCTTGTCTATGCCTTTTCCTTGCCATCATTGTTTTTCTCCTTATTTTCAGTATTGTTAGGGCAGCTAGTGTGTGCGGAGACCGAGCTAGCACATTTATTTTGCTATAGGGAGTCCATTTTCGGTCCATGCAGTGTACCCCCCAGCAACATCGATTACACGATTAAAACCCTGCAGAAGCAATTTCAATGCTATCAAACACCAGGTTTTCCGCATCTAAGAAGTATGCTAGAAAAAAGTAGGTGTTCATCATCACTGCAGGCTACCAGACATGAGAAGAAGCTCAACATGAAGGTTAAAAGCTTGACCGTATGCGTTTCCTGTAGGTCACTCACCAAATTCATGGTATCTTTAGTATCTTCTTGGACCAAAAGCATGCCTATTGTAAGTTATGGTCTAAAGAAAATTATTGTCCAAAAGTTCGGTATTGGTTTGCTTTAGGTTGTTCTTGAAGATCTTTCTGAAAGCAATACAATTGTACGACTCTACGTTTCCCAGCAAAACAAAGATTGACAATGCATTGAAAGTTTGGGCACAACAAATATAATTATGACTTTTATTATGAAAAACAAGGGTGGCCAAGATAAGGTGAAAAAACTGATATAAAATTACTCGAAAGAAACTTACGATATCAAATCGGAAAAATTGATTATAATTTTTGCTTTTAAAAAAATGGTTCGGTTTAGTTTCAAATTTAAGAGAACAAAAAAATCAAACTGAATTTTTTAAAAAATAAAAGCCTCAAAAACCCGATTTATTACATAAAAAACTGTTAAAAAACAGCTAAAAGACTACATGCTAATTTGGTTTTTTAAATGAAAAACCAAACTAAATCGAAACAAACTATTTAGTTTTGGACCAGTCATGAGCTTCAGTTAATTAAAAAAAAACAAATTGATTCAGTTGGGTTTTTTGGTCTAAACAGAGGCAAGCCAGCCACTTTTCACCTCTAAGGAAAAAAAGAGGGTTAACAAACAGATATAGGACAGCAATCCAGGTGAGGATCCTGGGGACCGTGGCTGAACAACTTTGTAGCCGTAAGTGTTTAAAGCGTGAAATTTCATCGACAATTATTACTAGAATGTGCGAGGATGAGAAAAACTTACAGCTGATTGCAGATCATTTGCTGCCATAAGCGACCTTCTTCCACTCTTGCACCCCTAAGGAACAAGAAACAATCTTTAACGCTAGAACTGAAGACCTTAGATTAATATCAATGGATAAGATCTATGGTTATGGTGTTTACAACAACAATATCATCATCTTTTCCGAACTGCGATGATACTTCCTCCAAAAATTTAGAATTCTTGAACATTTCTGCACAAATAAGCAAGTTCACTAAGCATAGCAAATTCTTGCTAGAATCAAAGCTGTCTATTCCCAGAATCTTTTCTTTTCTTCTCTCCTTTCTGAGAAAACTCTTCAAGAGATTTACCTGCTCCATGGTTTAACATGTAAGGAATGTTTATGGCCCCTGAAGGATGTCCAGCACGAAACTCATCATGGGTCCTACCATATCAAATCGAAAAACAAAATAAAAGTGTACATATATAACCAAAATTCATTTTCTACAAAGTTAAAGTGCAGAAAATTAAATGAAATTCTTTAAAATATTAGATCATGGAGAAAAAAATAAAACACAAATTGAAATTAGTCCAGAAAAACCTGGCAAATAAAAGAAAATTACCTGACATCCAAATACTGATGTCCAACTTGAAGAAGCGCGTGTGCAACATGAACTGGAACTGATCTTGGCTGAACATCAAACGATCGTGTTTTTGTATTATTTTCGTTGTTGACATCAGCAATGGATCTGCATCCGCAAAATATGCCAGTTCTAATTTACCGTTTTTACCTGGGTGAAGACAAACCTATAAATCAACATTGCAAAAATAAAGAAATAAAAGTATACCCGAAGTTCGAGACCCTGTCTCTTAGACCCGCACGATGATGCCCTTTGGCAACATGAAAAGACACCACCAACCCCGGCCACCAAACCCTAAAACAGAACTATGAATGCCATTTGTTTTCAATTAATTACAAGTATGGTAACCATTGTGTATTTACGAAGAAGGATGTGGAGGAGGAGGAGGAGAAAACCAACCTGCTGGCAATGCCTTGTTGTGAAGGACGAAAAAAGAGAACGCATGGAACGTACAAGGAGAGCAGGGGAAGCGGAGGATGGCATCTTCAACCTCTAGGATTTGTTTCCTTCACGCCTCCTTGATTTTATTTTTAAAAAGATAAAGGCAATAACATATAGGTATATATCCCAAAGCTTAATTATACATTAAGTAGAAGTTCAAATAAGACAAATCTAATATTTTTAGCTTTATTATATGTTAAAAATACGGGTTATCAGATATAACATGCTTTGATTTAATTACTCAATAAGCTTTCATACATATATATATATTTATTTTTTTTATTTCTTTCACACATATATATATATATATATATATATATATATTCACAATTCATATTTTAAAAAGACAAGGTAATATATAGTCCAATGATTAATTATATATTGAGTCCAAATATGACAAGTCTAATATTTTTTAGCTATGTTATATACTAAAAATATATGCAGGTCTGGTGACATATTAGATCCAACATTTTTAAATTTAGTTATTCAATGAGCTCAAATACATATGGATTCGATAGCATGTCGAACCTAATATCTTTAGATTCCACTATGCGATGAACCCATATATATATATATATATATATATGGGTCTAATGAGTTACTAGACCTAACATACTTGAATTCAGTTACACATTGAGCCTGAGACTTATGGGTTTGGAGAGCTACTAGATTCCATATTATTGAGCTTCGTTATGTTCCAAGTTTAAATATATATAGGTTTGACGAGTTTTTAGACCCGGTATCTTTGGGCTCAGTCATATATTAAGCCCAAGTACATAAGGGTTTAGCGAGCTGTCGAACCCAATATTCTTGAACTCAATTATACATTGAGCTCAAATACATGTGAGTCTAGCAAGTTACCATACTCAACATCTTTAGGCTCTGTATTATGTCAAACCCAAATGGATATAGAACTAACAACCTTTCAAGGCTTTATATTGTGTCACAAAACTTTGTTTGTTTATTTTTATATTTTTAAGATAAAATGATAAGGTCAAGTATACTTATCTCTCAACACCACTCTATGTATAAAAATCTTAAAAGGATATATTACTTTTCCATCAATATTAATGATATTTAAGGGATATTTATTTCTTATTAATAATATATAAGAGATATTTATCTCTCATTGATACTATCAGAAGAAAATTACTTTCTAGTTTTTTCTCCCATAAAAGGATAATACTCATAAGTTATATATACCCCATGAATTCTTCAAGTTAAATATTCACAATCTCTATTCTCTACTGTGTATATATATATTCAAAGCATCTCTCTTTAAAATATCATTGTACTCTCTCTCTAAAAAAATAGTCACTTAAATATATAAAAGTTATAAATCTACCAAATAGGATATTTTATAGGTACTAATCACTAACTACCTTGGCTTACTAAGCATCAGCCATCTTGACTAAGAATAATAAATCAAATTAATAGAATTAAGAGATTAACCGATTATCCAACATATAAATCTTGCTCTTAAGCTACTTGAAGTTTTTGGGACCTTATCATCAGCGCTGTTTGTGGAAACTGATTAAAAAATCATCAACTGTTCTTACAGAACTGGTTTTTAATATCCCCGATTGCTATTAAAGATAGTCAATCACCACACGCTTAAGATGGAATATATCTTGGACCTCCATACAACTATTGGCATAACTATTTTATCAAAGCATTGATAACTCATCAACCAGACCCGACTTCTCATTGAGCACTAGTATATCAGCCAATAAAAGCTTTGTAGAGTTATAACATCACTCAACTAGAAGGATTGTGTGCATTCTTATGATCTTGTTGATCATACCAATGAAATCCCTATAGTAAAAAAAACAACTTTAATGATCAAGAATATTTTAAATCAGCTTGGAAGGCTTGTTATATTGTGAACATGTTAGTAAAGTCTGGTATAGGGAATAAATGGAAGATGACATTGAAGTTCACTTGCATTCCTCTTGATTTATTGAAGAAATACATGTTGGATATGAAAATGAAGATTTTATGCCTAACCATCTCGGACAAAGTTGCAAACTCTTTAAAAACTCTTTAAACTCCTTAATAGAGTTCCTCGAAACCTATAGTCGTGCTTGAGAGCTCTAGGATTTTTCTTTAACAATGAGGAGCTCAACCCTTATATTATCCTGAGTGACCTTCGTCTCAAAGATCTCTTGTTTCAAGGCATCCATTAAAGCCACCTCGAAGCTCCTCAACTCAACCTCTACAGTTTTCTCCTCTTTTAATCATTGAAAAACAGTTTGGTTTGCTTTATTTTTAACGATGACCTTTTTAACATGGTTGTTCTTAGTCATCTAATACCTCTTAAAATAAAAGCACATCATAAAAGTTTGCTAAAGACAGGATTGTTAAAAACAATGATTGTAAAATCAAATTTAAAAGGTTAAACAAGAGAGTTCCTTATATTAAAAACATTTGTATTGTAAGTGCTAAATGATAGTTATAACTCTCATTAGACATCATTAAGATGTATGAATGAATGGTAAGAATCTTCTCCAACTGCCTCACTACTTTAATGTTAACTTCTTCATGGCTAGACCTCCCACCACCAATAGCCCCCATGACGTGCCTCTCTTTCTTGGTTAGGGTGAGGAAAATAAAAGGAGAGCCAATAATAGTATCCTTAGATACGCTCTAAGCTTAAATACATATGAGTTTGATGAGCTATCAGATCTAATATTCTTGGACTCAGTTAAGTGCAGAGACTAAGTATATATAAGTCTAGCAAGCCACCATATCCACTGTTCTTGGGCTTGGTTACCCACTGAGTCTAGGTATATATGGGTCCAAAAGCTATCAAACCTAATATTTTTAGTTCTAGTTATGCATTAAGCTCAAGTATATGTGGGTTTAGCGAGCTATCGAACCCAATATCTCTAGGTTTGACATCATGCCAAACCCAATTGAATACAGAACTACCAGTTTTTCCAAGCTCATATTAGACCACAAGACTTCGTTTGTTTATTCTTGTAACCTTTAACATAAAATGTTATCTCTCAACACCTTTTGATGTATAAGAGTCTTATAAGGGCCTACTACTTTTCTATTAACATTAATTATATGTAATTGATATTATCTGAAAAAAATTACTTTTTATATTCTTATATTCATTAAAGAACAAGACTCGTAGATTATATAAGTTCCATGAATGAAAGATTCACAATTTTTATTTTTTATTAAATATATATTTTTAAAACATCTCTCTAAAATATCATTTAACATATTTTCTAAAAAGATATTTATTTAAGTATATTAGAATTCTCAAATCTATATATAAAAAAATTATAAGATGAATGGATCAAATTATAAAAACCAAAAGTTTAATCAATT